GGTTTGAGCATTAATCAACACGCTTGCTCAATGCGGGTTGGCGATTTCAAACTTATAATTAGAAATTATAAGTCCAGGTTTCCTCACGATGTTATTCCTTCACCGTTTGTCAGTGGTGTCTAAATAATCTTAGAAAGTACATATAACTCGGAAAAAGTTACTTGCCGTTGGTAGGTTTCGAACCTGCACCCTCATGCGTGAGAAGCGGGCGTCTTAAACCTCCGGGCCACCACGACACACGGTGCCCGGTATATTGCCATATACCGGGCACAATTCCAGACTCCATGCTACTACTGAGATTTTTTGAAAAAGCCCAGTAATACTTTGCTCGACCCGGGGATCGAACCCGAGAGTCGGTTACAAGCATAATATTAATCCTAAATAATTCACGATTCATTCCTTTTATCATCAATTCGTAACAGACAAAACAAATTCTAGAAAAGTAATGTTTTATCAATGAATGAATAAACACAAGAAAGTAAAATACGTTGCGTTTGATAACTAGTTGTGAAATTGACGGTTATATGATAACCTTAGTTATTGTTACAAAATAAGTGTTTTATATATATTTATCACTTATTGTTTATTACACAGATTTGTGACTATTTGATAAACTGTTATTGGTACCGGAAGAGAGAGTCTGGCGGTCTTTCTCAGTTATTAAAAAGATAAGTGTTAGGTACGTATTATCTGAGTATTTTAATAGTAGACGTTATTAAAAAGTATATGTACGAAATATAATTTTGCATTTACGTGGGCTCATAAGAAACATCGAGATTAATTGAAACAAAACCCATGTTAAAAAAAACCTATTTAATTTGTAACGGTCCATGCTGAAAAATACTTAAAAAAAGGAAACAAAAATGAATTAACTAATTTTTTTATCTGAAAGTTTGACCCAAGTTAGTACTGAAAATAGACTTTTACGGGCCGATTTTTCCAACACTAGATTCATTTTTACTGACGAATCACTTTGATTTGACAATTCTCTCATACTAAAAACTGTCAAATGTCAATTTTATTCCACAGTTAAAAATTAAGTGACGATTGAAAAATCGACCCCAAGTACTTATCTTTTTGCAACAACACACATTAGATTGTCTATTGTTTCGTTTTAAGTATCATGCCATATGCACCAAACGAGTAAATAATTGGTTTTGTCTACATAGTTATTACATTATGTTTATCCAGCAAATCTAGTGATTTCTGCATGTGTCAAAAAAATCATCCTTGAATTTTGCACACAAACAACTATGAAGAATATGTTATCTACTCAAACGTGTATCTACTAAACAAAGATTGTTTTAGATTAAGTTATTTCTAAGTAATGAATAACACGGAGCTTAGAATTGAGCTCAATATTATGCTAAAAGGTTCACCCCATATTACATGGAAATTATGATATGTTTCGTGAAAAGTGAGTTTTAGGAACCTTCTTGAAGATAACGGGTGCTTATAAATGCATTTTACCCCATCCGTTCCCCGAAGACTTGTGCAATAATTTAGTTAGTTTTAACTCGTCGAGTACTGGTTTTATAGACACAATTAACTCGTCGAGTACCGGTTTTATAGATACAATTAAAGAACAATAGGTCGCGGTCACCGGTGACCGCTTGGTGTTTGACAGTTTAAAGAACAATAGGTCGCGGTCACCGGTGACCGCTTGGTGTTTGACAGTTTAAAACCCTAATACTAAGCATTACTTATCACATCTATACTATAGACATAATATTCATAATCAGGAAGTTGATATGACCCTTTAAAACGTTAAAAACAGATTATAATAAAATATTATTAGGAGTTACATGACCTTTTTGGTCCTTGTCTATGCGTAGTGGCCAGAGATAAGGGATTGACATACTCCACTTTATCTTTCTAGAATTGTGTGGATAATATCTTAAGATAAATAATAATAATTGACCCAAAATATCGTAATGTATTCTTATCATTACGCTTTATATTCCCTGGCCCTCCAGGGAATAATTTAAAAAAGTACTTAAGTAAGGTAAGGTCATCTGTAGTTTTTGTCTTCTCTATCCTTATCCTTACTAATCTTATAAATCTGAAAGTGAGTTTGTTTGTTTGTTTGTTTGTTTGTTCCACCTTCACGCCGTAACTACTCAACCGATTGTATTGAATTTTTGCAGACGTAATTAAGTTAGAAGTCCGGATTAAATAATAGGGTACTTTTTAACCCAGAAAAAATTGATATTCCTGAGGAAAATCATAAGTATTGGTATAGATGGCGCTGTGTGTATTGGTATATGTCACATAGGCTACTTTTTATTCTTTTGTGACGCGAGCGAAGCCGCGGGTAAAAGCTAGTGTTACATAAAACCGAAAAAAACTTTTGAAAACCTGTTCACAAAAAAAAACAAAACCAAAGTGTTTTAAACTGGGTCATGGTTCATGTAATCCTGTTCAATAAACTAAAACAGTGAAACGTGACAAACATGTTTAATATTAAAAAAATAATCCAAAAAAAGAAAGTGACATGAATAATTTATCGATTTATAAAAAAAAATATTCAGAAAAAATTATCGATTAAAAGATCGAATACGTATCGTGATGTGCGTCACTACGATTTAGTTTCACAGATTATTTGTTATGTTATCTGTGACCGGTTTTTGACATATGCGTGACGTAGAAATATTTAAGTTGTTTTGATTGATTTCCTGCAATTATAAACAAATACGTAGGTAGGTATAGAAAATGTAGGTGCGTATACCTTAAAAATATCACGGTTATTATTATGTTTAAAGTATTTAAAGATATTTTTAAATTTATACAAAAGTATGATTGCTAATAACGAAGTCCTCTGTTCGATTGTTGCGTTAAGTAAAATGTTAATGAATGGCGTTCGATCGTGCTTCGACGTCATGAATGTGAAATATTATGTACTGGAAGTTTTCAACTTAATATAAGGATGAACAAAAACAGACAGACAAAACCTCCTAGTGTATCTGTGTAACAGATTAAAAAGGATTAAAATTAAAACTTATTAAAAAAACTAGAAAAAGAAATCAAGATTCATAAGTCAAGCCAAGTCAAGTCTTAAGAATTTAATTTAGTTTTTTTTTTATTAAATCAAACCTAATGATTACGTTACATACCTATCATCATATTAGCCTTTTAATATAAATTCATACTAATATATTAGCTTAAAGGATGTTTTTTCAGCAAGAAACCTAATTTATAATTTCCTGTCGTCAAATTAATTGAAATTGGGTTTAACCGGTTAGCTATTTATACCTCATTGCACAAAATGTTAACAAGTAGTTTATTATATTTTTTGTAATATTTAATAAGTATTTCAAAGTTCATGATTTACTACTCATGTATGTATACAAAGTCACCCCTACCAGTCAAGTTTTTTTTGTTGTAATGTAATAATTATGTTTCCATTTTATTATTTAGACGCGTAACGTAAGTGGCATGTCTGAAATATTTTTAAACACCAGGACACAGAAGTAAACTACTTACATAGTTTGAGGCAAACAAAAGATTTTCTTTAAGTTACAGTATCGATAGACAGATAATAATATAGATAAACGAGGTCACACCTTTTTGGAGTATTTTTCATTTTCCATAAAAATTAAAAATTTTTGGAAGAAATTGATACGTGTGGAAATGTTTATTTTAAATTATCTATCTGTTATAGTGGCTACGTGTAACTATATTTTCAAATATTTCTAATACTACATTATATTATAAGTAGATTTGAAACGCTGACGTAATATAAAACCACTATTTTTTAGGCTATTTTTTCTTAATCTTCTTAAATGTTTGTTTGTAAATTAAATATTCAAGTCTAAAGCATTCAAATGTGATTTAACACTGAATTAACTTGTCCAGCCGTCCAGAACTAAATGAGTTAAGTAATTTTGACTTATGTATGACGTCAGTAAGTTATGTATGTATGTACATTAAACTTAGTTATTAAGCTCACGTGTATAAAACCCGTGTTTAAGCTTAAACTAAAAAATCACCGCTAGTTTTTGTACACATCCGCCATTTTTTTTTTGACAGCAGTAATTGAAACTGTTGGACGATAAAACGACTTTTTTACTCAGAAAAAAAATTATCTGACCAGCTGTAAATTTTTTATTATTAGGTACTAAATTTTTTACGCAAAAAATGTAGTAATGATAATTAAAAATAGGAATGACAGGTATTAATAAAGTCTCCTAATTGCTGTAGTTTTATAATTTTATTACGATTTTTTCATTGATTTTTGACGTAGGTATTTGGTAGGATACTAGAAATAGTGTGTTTTTTTTTCATATTCAGGTCTACTATTGTACTAAAAAAAAAATAAGTAAGGTTTATTTGAAGACAATGCAATTTTATCAAATTGCATTATCTTCATTTTCATTATTACTTATTTTTTTACATATTATGTTCGAAAACAGAACTAGTTTGAAATCTAATTGTAAAGGTATTGGACCATTGAATGTCAGTCTAATTTACGTCAACAATCGTTAGCATTTCGGAGCAAACTTGTGGTCTATGGAAGCTTAAATAAAGTATTAAATAACCAACTACAAAATAAACAAATCACGTCATATATGCAATTTGAGAGTGACAGCATTTTATCATTATTTTTTGTGTAACTATACTACTTGTTAGACAAGTTTCATTGAAAAAAATCAGCATTTTAGGAGCAGATCGTTAGATTTTTTTAAGTGTGAGAGGTCCATGTCACGGCAGGAATGGGCTCAACCGGAGTGATACCACGGCCGAGCAGAAAACCGACGTGAAACAACGCTTGCGTTGCGTTTCGCCGTGTGAGTAAGGTTACTGGAAGCCCGATTATCACCGTCCCCCAATTTCCCCCATTCTAGAATTCCCAACAATCCTCAAATTACTAATCCCTAAAAGGCCGGTAAAGCACTTCTAACGCCTCTAGTGTTTCAGGTGTCCATGTGTGGCGCCAATTGCTCCGTCTTCTCGTTAACCTGCTCATCCCATAAAAAATAATTATAATATTTTACACTTACCCACGTGGTAACAATGTCCAGAGGATTTATCGCAGCCATTATGATTCCTATGATCGCCAACAGGATACCATACGATAATCGGATGACTGAATCTAGAAAGCAAATAAAAGAACATGTCATTTTAGCAGTTAGTTTTCACGCAGAAGTGGCATGCTTCGGAATCAATACCTAATCCCGTTTGAGCGGAGTGATACAACAGCCTCATAAAAAACCATGGCGTGAAACAACGCTTACATCGTGTTCCACCGGGAGGTATTAGAGGCCCAATTTTCCTAAAAAGCTACAGGTGACTGCTGGTTACTTATCAACATCATCAGGAGATCCCTCTGATCATTTTTTTTGGATGGAATCACCTGATGGTAAGCAATCTTCGTCGCCCATGGACACCTGGAACACCAGAGGCATTACAAGTGCGTTACCGGCTTTTTGGGGATTGAGAGTTTGAGAATTGTTGGGGATTCAGGGATTGGGGAGATTGGGGAAGGGGAGGGTAATTGGGCCTCCGGTAACCTCACTCACACGATGAAACACAACGCAAGCGTTGCTTCACGTCAGTTTTCTGTGAGGCCGTGGTATCACTCCGGTCGAGCCGGCCCATTCGTGCCGAAGCATGGCTCTCCCACACTTATTTGGTATAGTATCATTTATATAGTAAAAAAGTTGATGTTTTATCTATGATCATTAGACAAACGAAGCAGGAAATAATATAAGCGAAGATATGAAAAATAAATACCCACGTGGAATAAAGCGTGACTTAATAGTTCAGTGACCATGCCGATAGATAAGATTTTTTTTCTATTTAGCTAATTCCGATCAATATTAATAGACGATGGCAGAATTATGAGTCTCTCTCTATAACACTAAAGTCTTCAATTATCTGGTGTAGATTGCAATTTAACTCGTCGAGTACCGGTTTTATAGACACAATTAAAGAACAATAGGTCGTGGTCACCGGTGACCGCTTGGTGTTTGACAGTTTAATTAAGATATTTTTAAGTAAAGATGGAAAACGAACAACTTTATAATAAATCTTATAAAATAGCACTAAAGTCTAAAATCCTATTACCAATTTTAGTTTTCATTGTAACTTAATTGAATTCAGAATGAATTGAAATTCGATTAAGTCATGCCACGGTAGTTAAATTTTTAAGACTTTATCTAAGCAGATAATTCCGAGATTAATTCTTGAGTCGGGGAAAAATATTGATATTGTCAATTTTGATACAGTAATTTGTACGAAGTCTTCAATTATGTTTCAAATTGTTTCATAAGTAATTATTTTCCTTTTACAAATTGCTGCAAACCTTGACTTATACTTATCATTTCACTACATAGTATAACACAAAAGTCGCTATCCGCCGTCTGTCCGTCCCTATGTATGCTTACATCTTTAAAACTACGCAACAGATTTTGATGCGGTTTTTTTAAATAGATAGAGTGATTCTTAAGGAAGGTTTATATATATAATATATGCATATTGTACGTGCGAAGCCAAGGCGGGTCGCTAGTACTTAATATAAGACCAAAGTTATACTTAATACTAGCTTTTACCTGCGGCTTCGCTCGCGTCACAAAAGGATAAAAAGAAGCCTATGTGACATATACCAATATACACAGCGCCATCTATACCAATACTTTGGTTTTACCTCGGGAATTTCAAATTTTTCCGGGATAAAAAGTACCTACTCTATTATTTAATCCGGACTTTTAACTTTAAGTCTGCAAAAATTCAAAGCAATCGGTTTAGTAGTTTAGGCGTGAAAGCGGAACAAACAAAGAAACTCACTTATAATGTTAGTAAGGATTATTACGGTGAGATACTTACGTCGTTTCTGAACAGTGAAGTTCTGTATTTTCATAATTGATATTCGCCCCTTACTGGGGACTTGTTGTAGGGTGCCTACAACCATCTTTCAGGCTCTGAAACAAACAGAAAGTATGTATATTTATATATCTCAAAAAAAAATTTATTTTTGTCCTGAAGCTGTCGGAAATCACTGAAAGAATAACAGAAGTATTCTTAATTGCCTAAATCGACTACGAATTTAATATCTCCTGCCAGGCTGAGGAATAATGGGAAGTCCTATGTTAAGCTGCCTAAGACTGCCTCGTTGGCCGAGTGGTCGCAAGTGCGACTGCCGGGCAAGGGGTCTCGGGTTCGATTCCCGGGTCGGAGCGGGAGCGGCTTCAGTTTAGCACCGAATAATATGTCACATACATCTAGTTTAACTCGTCGAGTACCGGTTTTATTGACACAATTAAAGAACAATAGGTCACGGTCGCCGGTGACCGCTTGGTGTTTGACAGTTTAATAAACCATATTTTTTTATATATATGATGGGCCGACGTTTGACCACTATCTCGCCTGGTGAGCCTAACTAGTCAAATTCAATACTTTTTTCGAACTGTCAAAAACGACAGTTTTCTATGAATTTTGTACGAGATTGTGTAATGTGACGTCACGTTTTGTTAGCGTCAAACAGCACACCTATTTCTTAAAAATTTGCTGGAAAAATACTAAAATTAAGTTGGTCATAAAATCAATTTATTAAAGTGTGATTATTTTTTAATATTTGATTGTATTGAACAGTCGAAATGATTTATTTTTGATTAAGGCAAGTACTCAATTCAGCCATTCTATCAAACGGCTAATCATTCAGGTCGCCAGTTGAACGGCTAATTAAGCTAGTTGGCTGTGACAGATACTCTGACGACGATAGTGACGATTTATGGTATTAAACATCACAATACACACCTAAGTTTTTACTCAGTCGGTAAATCACGTTGTATAACCATAATGAGGGTTAAAAGATCATAAATTGTCATACATTATACTATGTGAGAGATGATCAACATTCAACGTTTATTAACATACATAACATGCATTTTACAGCACTTAATGCAACTGTACAATGTAACACCCATTTTTAACTATTTACTCTGTGATTTTTAAACCCAGTAGTACTTTGTCCGACCCGGGAATCGAAGACCGAGACACCTTGCCCAGCAGCCGCACTGGCGACCATTCGACCAACGAGCCAGTCGTTTATTATAATTACATATACTTCCAATGTCGTATTATTAAGTATTTCGTAGTATTGTTGTGACGTAAAGGATTATTATTTGTGTTTGTTTTTCGTTAGTTGTTTTTAGACAAGTTTCAGGGCAAGTGATTCGATTTCCAGTTTGGGCAGAAGTATTATTAAGTATATATTACGGGATCAAAATTTAACCTGTGCATAAATAAGTCCCGGTGCTCGGCTTTTCTTGGTCATCTCGTTGTTTTATAGCCTACAGCCTTCCTCGGTAAATTCACTATTCAATATCCGGATATTTTTTGTTTCTACAGTCTCTACAGCTCTCAAAAATCAAAAATCTCTACAGCTACATATAATACATAGTATAATATTTAAGATACGATTAAAAACTATAAAAGATAAAGATATGCATTTTCTGTACCTACATAAATGTCCAACGTTGTAACTACTCGTTTGTAACTACATATATATAATTATATATACAGTACAATTGTAACTAATTTAAAAATAGACTATGTTACTATATGACACTGTTATCAAAACTGCAACCTGTTCCTCTAGAAATCTTAGACCTATTTCTATATTAACAATATATATTAATAACTAAGGAATAAAAACATTAAAGCCGTTAAATTATTAAAATAAATCTGTTTATCATAATAAATAACACGTAAATATATGTTAAGTGTGTTATGTTAATAGTTATTTTAATAATTATAGGTTTTTTAGGTATTTCGTAAATCATTTAATATGGAAAGTTAGGTAACTTGTAATACCTAATGATAAGTGATTGATTAAAAATAGATACAAGTTTTGATTTGATAAAAAACTTCTTTATCAATTCAAAACTTGTATTGAGTAGTATTTAATACTAATGGATTTTTTTTCATGGGGGAAAATCATCCAATGGCTTCTCTCATCATCAGACTCTTACTGACTAAAAGCACCCCGTTCCTACTCCTGCACTTACGAGCCGGATCCCCGGCAACCCGTTAAGCCCTTCGCGGGTTATATATAATTGAGTTATATAGGTATGTAATAATAGTTATTGTTTAATTAAAGGTTATGTTTTAGATTATCCGTTTAAGTACCTACCTACTTATGTTTCAAATGTTTGTATCAAATCAATAAGTAATGATTTGAAGCTACATTACTTAATAAGTTTATTATTTTTTGTTTTGACTTGACTATATCCTTATCCTTATCCTTATCCTTACTATCCTTATCCTTACTAATATTATAAATTGGAAGTGAGTTTGTTTGTTTATTTGTTCCGACTTCACGCCGTAACTACTAAACCGATTGCATTGAATTTTTGCAGACGTAATGTTTTTTATTTATTTTTTTTTTTTTATTTATTTAACACTTTATGTACAACTGTATACAATGGCGGACTTAATGCCGAATGGCATTCTCTACCAGCCAACCATAGGGTGATGCAGAGAAGTGTTACAGTAGGTTTCAAAAGAAGTAAAAAAATAAAAACGAGGGTGATAAATGTACGTACATATGTATAAAGGTATCCTAGTACATAAACTACATACCAATACTACATACTAATATGAAACATAAATATAATATGTAAATAATTAAATATATATATAATATAAAAATAAATATATAATGGGTTTATATATTTCATATAATTATATATATAAAGTTTCTGAGGAGGGTGTTAATTGAGACTTGATTGTGTCAGTTTGTTCTGAAGATATTCTTTGACTTTAAATTTAAAGGATAGCCGACTGGAAGCCGTCCTGATATCCGTGGGCAGCGCATTCCACAGTAAGACTGACTGAATGAAAAATGACGAGTGGAGAAAGTCGGTTCGGTGTGAGGGACCTTGGAGGAGGAGATTGTTTGTGGAACGGAGATACTTATTGTGGTTGGTGCTCACATATTGAAAGTAGGAGGCTAAATAACTTGGAGAAGTGGGGGAATTAAGCAAGGAGTATAAAGTGGTTAGTGCCCGTTGTTCCCTGCGTTGACGTATGGGCAACCACTTTAGTTGCAATCGGTATGCAGAAACATGGTCGTATTTACGCAGGTTGAAGATGAATCGAATACAGTTATTCAGAAGGCGGTCCAGTTTATTGATGAGATCTGCATTCAGGTCGTAGTAGCAAACATCAGCATAGTCAATGATAGGAAAGACCAAGGAACGGACAAGCATTATCTTGGTGGAGGACGGAAGAAAATTTTTAAGGCGATACAAAGACCGAAGCGTGCCCGTCACCCGTTTACAAACACCAGCGATCTGAACACGCCACGTCAAATTATTGTCGATGTGCAGTCCCAGATCCTTCACGTCACTGCTGAGCGAGATTATCGCACCATCATATAGAAGCGGCGGCAGTGCTGCGCTGTCGATTCTACCAAAGGTACGGGAACTTCCTAAAATTATTGCCTGGCATTTACTGGGATTCACTGCTATACCGAAACTTGTTGACCAGTCGTTCAAGGCAGCCAGGTCCGCATTTAACCTTGAGATCGCATCGGGCAAATCTTCCACTCTAGCCTGGCAATACAACTGCAAGTCGTCGGCATACAGATGGTACGCACACTGAAGTTCGGAAGTGACTCGATTTATAAAAGTTGAGAATAGAAGAGGAGAGAGAATTCCGCCTTGAGGAACGCCAGCAGTCAATTGGCACCAGCTCGATGACGTATCGCCAACCTGGACCAACTGCTGACGCTCGCGAAGATAGGATGAGAACCATTCCAGTGCGTCATTAGATACCGAAACCTGGGAGAGGATCGCTAACAGGATATCATGATCGACCATATTGAATGCATTCGAGAAGTCCACCAAAACCAACACAGTGACTTTGGTGTCCTCCATCCCTGCCTTCACATCACCGATAACTTTGAGCAATGCGGTAGTGGTGCTGTGTCCAGGCCTAAAACCAGATTGGTATGGGCTTATTAGCGAGTTCCGGTGCATAAAACTTGAGAATTGCCTATGGACACAGGCCTCCAGGACCTTTGACAAAAAGGGTAGGATTGATATGGGACGAAATTGGGTTGGAAGGGTGGGATTAGGTATTTTAGGAAGGGGGCGGACATAGGCTTGACGCCACAACGATGGGAAAACTCTGGAATGTAGGGAGAAATTAATCATATGTGTAATGATTGGGAGGAGGGGTTCCAGTATGGTTATGATCATATATCGTGATATATTATCACAACCCACTGCCTTGGACTTAATGGCAAGGATAACTTTCCGGATCTCCTCTGACTGCACTGGCCTGAAACAGAAAGGACTGACAGTGGAAGAACGCATTAGACCAGAGATAAGAGATATGGTGTTTTGTTTAGTTTGGGAATCCAATTTAGAGACAGTGGAAAAGTGGCGATTGAGATCATCCAAACCAATCGAGCTCGGCAGGTCTAAATGCTGCGATTTGCCGATACCTAGGGTTCTGAGGAACTTCCAAATATCGGCAGAAGAAGAAGAAGATATTCGGTCGAAAATAAAGCGGCGTTTAGCATTGCGCACCATCTGATTACACTTGTTCCTTGCAGTTTTGAAGGCAGCCCAATTTTCCTCAGTACGATCCCTCCTGTGCCTACGGAACGCTCGATCCCTGCGTCGCATCGCCGTCTGTATCACTCCAGTCATCCAAGGCGCTGGTGGACGCTTTAATTTAACCCTTTTGATGGGAGCATGACGGTCAAACAGACTATTCAAGGTGTTATTGAATATATCCACCATGTTATTGACACTAGTGGCCTCCATCAGCAGCCTCCAATCAATGGCCGCCGCATCTTTACGAAGACTCTCAGCATCCATTCTCGCAAAACAACGCCTGTACACAACCCTAGGCCTAACCTTGGGCGGTTTAAGGATATAGGAGAGGAAAATTAGGTCA